CACCGGCCGACTTGCTAGTTCTGCTTGTGGCAAAGTGTGTGAATTTTCTCTCTCTAAAATGAGGCAGCATAGATCCGGCATCAAGTCAATATGTTGATTTCATCTTTTAGGCAAAACATGAGGAAACCTCGTCAACCTGTGCTGAGGCTTGGGATCTCTAGATAATCTGCAGGAACACTTGGATGGGAGGCATAACCTCCCGGAGGCTCAATTTCCAAGTTAGGAAAACTGATAAACCACACTACCTAGGTCACACTATTATTTTAAGTATTAAGTGATCATCTACGTTAAGCTCTTACACGGGGCGCGGCACATAGCAGGGGTTCAAAAACGTGAGTTCCCCAGCTGTGCACCAGGCACCTCGGGAGACTGCAGTGAACTCACGTGGTGCACGGGATGGTTTTGATTTTCAGTTTTTTGTGGGAAACAGCGACATCTGTGGGACACCACGCACGCTACTGCTATTCAGTTGCATGGACTGATCTACTTAAATGGAACTGTTAGGAATTCCTTTTGGCTTAGGGGACCCGTGAGAAAAATACTGAAACTCTAAAGGCACTGGGAGATGAGACAGGTCGGGGATCTCTCCTTGCTGCCATGTCCTGTGTTGGGTGCTGGGTTGAGAACGGGCTGTGGAGGAACCTGCGAGGAGGCTCTGCCATAGTCCGGGTGAGAGATGACGGCAGCTTGGACCAGGCGATGGCAGAGGAGGTGGGAGAAGGGAGGACTGGGGATGGACCTCAGGCCTCCCGGCTCTGAGCCTGCGGCCCTTTGCGCTGCACCCACGGCCAGTGAGCTTGTCTCCCCAGAGAGACTGAAAGAACCTCAGAGAGGAGCTGTCATCTTCAAGTTTTGGATTGGTCCCTAACAGGTCAGGTGACCGCAGGCTACAGACCTGACCCCGAAATCTACGTCCTGCTCATCAAAGAGTGCGAGCACCTGGGGAAAGAGGGCGAGTTCTCCCCCTGCTTCACGGAGCTGCAGCGAGCCTTCCTGAGGCAGCGTCCAACCAAGCTGAAGAGCCTCATCCGCCTGGTCAAGCACTGGTACCAAAAGGTGTGGCCCTCCTGTCACGTGGTGGGGGGGAGGAGGAGGAGGTGGGAGAGGGAGGGCAAAGGGCAAATTCATCCTTCCAGTTACTCTGGCCCAAACCAGGGGTCTTCCCTGACTTTTTCGCACACACACCTCCATCCAACCAATCAGCAAATGATGTTGGTCCTGTATTTGCAATATATCCGTAATTCATCAATCGTCACCACCTGTCACTCTCACCCTGCTCTGAGTCATCTGGCGAGGCTCACAGGCTCTGCCCCCCACCTCTCTGAACCCCCACCTCTGCCCCCTCGCCTCTCCCCCAGGCCATGCTGGTCTCCTCCTTATTCTCCAAGAGGGAAGCCCTCCTCCAGCCCTGGCCCTTTGCATTTGCCTATGAGCCCAAGCCCTTAACCAGAGGTCAGTGAACATTTTCTGTAAAGGGCGAGGGAGTAGATACTTTAGACCTTGTGGGCCACATGGTCTCTGACACAACTACTCAACTCTGTCTTTGTAGCATGAAAAGCACCATCGACCACACATAAATGAATGGTGTGACTTTGCTCCCAGAAAACATTACTTACAAAAACGGGTGTCAGGCTGGATTTTGCCCGTGGGAAATGTGCTGTACACGAAGGCCGGACAAGCCAGTTTTTCTGACTGTTTTTCCTCTTCTCAGTGTAAGGAGAATCGTGGGAAGCCACTGCCACCACAGTATGCCCTGGAGCTCCTGACAGTCTACGCTTGGGAGCAAGGAAGTGGGCAAACAGAATTCAACACGGCTCAGGGATTTCAGACCGTCTTGGAGTTAGTCCTGAAGCACCAGCAGCTATGCATCTACTGGACAAAGTACTACGACTTTGACAACCCTGTTATTAAAGAATACCTGAGCAGGCAGCTCAGGAAACCCAGGTATTCTCTCCCCTTCGTGGATTAGCTCTCCACATCAGTGAACCCCCGGATACAGACGTGGCGCCTGAAATGGAGGAAGTGGGAGGGCTCCACATTTATGGATGATCTTCTGTTGCCAATCATTGTGCTGGGCACGTTACTACTGCCATCTGATTTAAACCACAGCCTCCAGCCCTGTGAGTCAGGCACTATGCTCACCCCTTGACAGATGCGTAAACCGAGGTTCTGACAGGTAAGGCGCTTGTCCAAACCTTAACAGAAAATGCAAGACACCGCTGAAATGGCTGTGCTGGGCATTCACATGCTTTGTCTCAGTCCTCATACCACATCCTTTGAGGTGGGTGTGTTCAAGCCTCCCCATTTCACAGATGAGGAAACTGAGGCTTAGAGAGGTCAAGTGACCCGCCCAAAGGAACACCACTAATAAAGGGCCGAGGTAAGATTCAAACCCCGGTCTCCAGGCCCAAGTGCAAGGCTCCTTCTCCTCGTGCTCGCTGCCCACCATGGTGCAGGGCACTCAGGACACACCCTGGGCAACAGCGCCCTGCTGGGCCCGTCCTCCTGCCCCAAGTCCCAGCCTGCCCCAGGCTGGTGTTTGCTCTGCAGGAACATCTACACTCCTCAGATGCAGCTCAGCTCCTCACCTGTCCCTCTAACTGTCACTCTTCAGGCCTGTGATTCTGGACCCGGCTGACCCTACAGGAAACGTTGGTGGTGGAAACCCATCTGGCTGGCAGCGGCTGGCACAAGAGGCTAGAGCCTGGCTGGATTCCGCGTGCTTTAAGAAAGGGGATGGGTCTCCAGTAGGCTCCTGGAATGTGCCGGTGAGACCTTCTGCTTCCTCCCTGTCCCCCTTCCCACCCGCTCCACGCAGCATTAGCTGGAGACCATTCCTTCCAAAGAAATTGCTTCTTGCCGGAGGCCACTCACGTTCATAGTTTCAGGCTGTGCTTCCTACTTTACAGGCATTTTCACCCCATTCAGAGGGTTCCTGGAATTTTCACCTCCCTTGTCCAGAGTTCGTTCTTTAATTAATGTCACCTTGCCTGGGGGTAACTCTTAAGAGCTGCACTTGGCTCACCCCACTGATAACAATACTAAACAATAACAACCACCGCAGATTGAATATCTGCTTTGGGCGCAGGTTCTGGCCTCAGCCCCTTAACATACGTTGTTTCATGGAATCCGCACAACACCCTGTGAGGTGTGTTTCCTACTCCCGTCTCCCAGATGAGTAAAGGAGGCTCAGAGAGGTGACGTCACCTGCTCAAGGACACTCAGCTAGGGAGTGGCAGAGCTGGGATTCAAACTTGGTGGACTCCAACACCAGTACTCATTCCACTATGCCCAACAGTCTGCCTCGTGTCCCCCTATTTATGTGACAAATGGGAGACTCAGAGCAGCTGAGTGACATGGGCGTGTCACACAGCTAATTCGGGGCAGCAGGACTCAAACTTGGGTCTTTCCACTCCCCGGGTGGGGGTCTTTCTCATGCGGGGGAGGGGTGATGATGTCATAGGTGGGTCCCCGGGAGGGTTAGCGTGCAGGATGTTTGCGGGGTATCCACTGGCGTCAACACCCGTGGAATGGAGGGGAAGAAGCAGGAGCGGGCAGCACAGGGAAACGTCCAGCTGGGACGCAGCCCAATGACAGTCCCAGCCCACCCTCTGGGAGCTGACCTGCAGCAGACTGAGCTGGCCAGGCCTGTATAGCCCACATGGACCAGTCACTGAACCGGGGCGGCTCAGGAAGGGGCGTGGCCTTGAGCGCGGGGCTCTCTGCAGCCGAGGCAGCCCTAAAGGGGCTGACGGCTGGAGTCTGTCTGCTGACCACCTCCCAGCAGCTGGGGCTTGCTTGTCCTTCCTTGAGGGGGATCCAAGTGGCATGTCACAGTGTCCCCCTAAATGCTCTCC